TGATCGGATCTGCGGGATCACTGCTCCCACAGACCCATCACTGCAGGAGGACTGCAGTCACTATTTAATCGGACTACTATCAACGCCCTGACTCACAGGGTGTCAGGTTACTTGCTGACTGTCAGTGGTTTCTTTCTTTTGGGTTGTTAATTTGTACTGTTATATTTGTTGTTTTGTTTGTGTTTCATATTAAATTGTACTTCTGACTCAGAGTCTCTCACCGGTTTGCTTTCAAATCAGCACAAGGAGCTTTTTGGTACTGTTCTGACAAAACCCTTGATCAGTCTTCGCACAATAAGATATGCACCCTAAAGAGGTTGGAATGAACTGTGGGTTTACAGTATGGCCTCCTTCTCTGACCTCTAAAATAAGAAACTTCTGAAAGAACAGCCACTGGAAATGCCTGTTTAAAATAAGAATCTTAAGGTCTGTAAATAGTAGGATAGTGCTTGCAGAGTGTGAACCTTACTGACTGTGGTGCTTGGTATATCTGGAAACAACATACTGGAAACTGAAAAACTTATTCGGGTTAGGAAGCGGAACCCAAAAGGCCTGGATTTTCACAGTAGCTAAGCAAGATAATATGTTGCATGAAATAGTACATACTTCCTTTTAGCATCTGTGATACTTAACTGACACTTCCTTTTTTTGCTCAGTTTTTGTCCTGGATAGTCAGTATTATGATACTACAGTGCCACCTCAACTGACAAGACTCCCTGGTCTAAAAGCAGGAGCCTTTCCCTCTAATAAAAAGAACCAAGGAAACTGTTTCACTGAAATGAGAATAGAGCCATAACTGCAGATTTGTGGAAATCTAGGAGTGCACTAGGGCACTGATGAGAATATCAGTGTCCTGTATACATTTGTGTTCAGGCAATATTTTCTACCTGACAGTGCAATCCAGTGAGAACAGATGTAGCATAAACAGCCTGTGGTGCTCGGTTATTCTGTTAGCTTTATGTTTCTCTTTTATTGTTTGTTGCTGCCTGTGGACAGGGAAGATTTTCAAAAATATTTGTTCAACTGTCACAAGCTTATTACCAATGTATCCAATTATTTATATAGAAGATTTCATAATTCATTATTTTTTCCCACACGAAGTCACTGTATTTACATAACAAGAAACTGAACATGCCTGGCAACTGCCATTTTAAATCTATGTATTTGAAATGACAGAAACTTGCAGACATTCTAACTTCGGTTTGATAGCTTACTTGCATTCTTAATAAATTCCTTTCTGACTGTTAAAGCCAAACAAAAACAAGCCATTTGAAAGCTAGTTTAATTAAGCTAGTTAAAAGTAATTTGGTCTACCCTGGTAACTTTTGTATTGAATAGCCCCGGGACAATCACAATGGTTCAATCATTCCTTGTGCCAGTGGTGGGTCCCTGGTTTACATGCTTATATGGTTGTTTACTTGTGTAACAATGAAAAGTCAGGCTCCTTGTCATGTGTAAACATCTTGACTGTTTGTGTCATGTCACACTTTTGTTTCTGGTGTTTAAATTGTCTTTTGATTTCATCATAAGAATTTTGTGTCACTGTGTGAAAGTTACAGCAGTAGCTTCTCACAAAAACCCACCTCAGACTGCACTGTAACTGCTCTTCTCCTTTAAGAAATTGAACCTAAATGTGTCTAAGTGACAGACTGAGTTTTGTGTCTACACCCATATACAGTGTGTAGTTTAAGCCTAGGAATATTCACTAGCGTGGAATGAGGTAAATCACTTTGCTGCAGAGGCACAGCTTGCTTTTAAGTCACCAGATTTGGCTGTTTTCACCGTTTTTCTTTTGTTTGGCTGGTCTGGCTCCCTAATTGAGCAAGAGCTATACTTTCAGGGATAAACAAATACACAGAACCTGTAGGGATTCAGGGGAATTCTCTCATTTTCTCCTGTTCTCAGTTCAAGTCCCTCCAAACCTCCTTTAACAAGTTTCCCCATTAGCCCTTCTTTACACTGGGGGTACCTTACTGCATGTCCTGCTGTTTCTTCTCCTTCAGAAGCAGGTTAACTTCATAGGCATACATTTTGACTCCCATCTGCTAGTAGAGATGCAGAGTGCTAAGGATGAGAAGTCCCTTCTACCTCACTCAGTGTTTGCAGCACAACCCAACAACGTGTCTTGGCAGAAGCTTGCCCTACCAACTGTTGTCATCTAGCATTGCTCATTCCTGATATAAACCAGGATAAGTGCATAGAGCTGATTATTGATACTTTGAGGTTGAGGGCCAGGAACATTGATTAAGCACTGCAAAATAAACAAACCAGCTTCCATAAACCAGGGAAGTGGTTTGGAAGGAAACCAATGCCCTAACTGTGTCCTGCTATTGGAACAAAAAGAGACATGAGAGATATGTTTTATTTTTCAGTAACACAGGCAACAACTGCCGGCACTGGCTAATGTTTTTAGTTTAGTCTCCAAGATAGCATGCAAGTCCAGGAATATTTGTTACCTAGCTTGAAACAATTAGCACATTGTTCATCTGCGATGCTTTATGAAGAAAGTGCAAGCTGAGCACAAAGAATCCCCTATTCTCTTCTCCAAGGCATAAGTTCATAAAAATTTATTTTGGAAGAATTGACCTAGGAAGTATTTTAATTCAAAACAAGAACAAATGCAAAGCATCATGAGATTAGTTCTATCAAGACTCTAGGAAGGATTCAGAGATCTGACATGGAGTGAAAATGAGCAGCTGAGTAAACCCAAATTGATACAATTTTAGTATGTAAAGTTCAAATACTCAAACATTTCCTTTTATGACGGAAAAGGATATTTATAACAAAAGAAGACTGAATAAATTTGACTGGTGAATAAAAACCATCTAGTCCATTGCTTAAAACTAAACCAAGAATAAAAACACCAAAATAAGCTGAGGGGACCAGGGTCAATTTCAGTACATTTGCTATACCTAATACAGGAAACTCCACATTTCCAAGTACAAGCTCCCCCACCCCATCCCTGTGCAATTATGAAGTCTGCTCACATGGCAGCATGTCACTCAACACCACAAAAAGCAAGCAGAAAATCAGTGAAGCTTAAACTACGATGGCAAAGCTGAACAAGTTTACAAGTGTCACTGAATCAGATCAGTCCTTTGATTGTACAACTGCAGTTCAATGGCCTTTGAGAGACCACAGTTGTTGCAATGCTTTCGAACTTGAGGGCTTTTTGCAGGATCCAATGGCTAATTACATACCTTGTATGGAACAAATTACTGCAATTTAAGAATAAAGAACTTGATCCTGCTCACAATGATGTCAATAGAAAAACATTGCTTAAAAGATGTTCCACAGTGTGGAAATGTGGTTTCACAAAGGAGGGCTGACCTCACCCTTTCATGTGTGGTTTTCTGAAGATTCTTGGTTTCAGGACTCTAATGTATCTAGTTTATTACAAATGTTCACCAGAATGCATTTATTAACATTTGATGAATGACATCTGCACAATCTCAGTATCTCTTTTATGTTTTTTCCAAGAGATGCTACCATTTTTAATAGACTGTACTTGTTCCCTGAGAACGAACTTACACAGTAGGAAACAATTTTTTGCCTGTTAAACCTTAAGGCCAAGACAGCAGCTTTACACCAGGGAAAAAAAAGGTGGTGTTTAGGCCACTATACATGGAGAAGTTGTGCATGCTGTGCAGGGGCACTCCTCAAGTCCACACCAGTAACAGTTTACAAGGCAGATAATCACAATTACCAAGATTGGTAGCACTGAATGGAAAATAGTTTCAAAAATTGCTCTATCCTGGGCAGCATAATGCATACATGCTTCAAAGTTTTAAGTGTAGTTACATACCAGGCTGTTTTATAAGCAGACTGGGTAATAAATACTACATAGCAAAGCAATCTAGCATAATCCTATGTAATGACCATATTGAAGGTGTTACCAAGCCTATTAAAAGAGGACATATTAAAAACGCTCAAACAACTTTTGAAAACCTTTTTGTACCCACATGAAACTGTCAGTCAACATCTAACCTCAAATATGTAACTGAGGTGTTCACAGTTGTTCCAAAATATGAAACTGTTAGAAGTGACACTCATTTTTCTCCATTCACTAGCACAGACCTCATCACAAAGGAATTGTTTTGAAAAGCTCCTCCTAAATTATGGTCAGATGGTTTGGGGTAGTTAAACCAAGAAAACCGCCAGCAGTATTTTCACAAGATAAATCTTGATGTGTCTTCTGTAATTTAAACATATCTGTGTGAACCCTCGGAAAAAGAGTACTGAGAGTCTTCTAGTTTCTTTCCATTTTATTTAGGTATCTCATGAGTGACTTGTATTTTCCATTGCAGAATTAATGTGTAGTCAAATAAAACATCTTGGATGTTTTTATAATCTTCACCAACTCAAATGAACACTGTGAATTATGCTTAGTATTTCCAGCCTCCTGCTCTATGATATCATGGCCTTGTGTCATTTATGAATAATCCCATTTTATGCAGTAGTTTTGTTTCATCTCTATTGTTTTTCGATTTTTGCCATGGCCATTTCTCTTGCCCATCATTCTTCATTACTCTTTTAAATTTATTTTTTCATGGATAAAACCTCCTGGTTTTGAGGATAAGATAGCTGAGGCTATTTGATCTGTTCACATTGGAGTTTGGGGGAGGAAAAAACTGCAACAACCTCAGCGAGTCCCATTTTCTCATAGACAAATGAGAAAATACTCTCCTAATAAAATGGAAACTACATACAAAGATATATAATTTGCCTATAAAAGTGAGAAAACACTTTGTGTTAATTGAAAACTTACATATAATCCCCACTGGAATTGAAATTTCAGTCATTGGCAGTACTAGTACGTGCCAAGACAAACTGGATTTGTCATTTCTATTCTGTAGATGTCAAAACTATTAGTGCATTTAGAAAAAAAACCCTAAAATTACAGACATTTAACAGTGCCAGGTTTTGTTAGATACCTGATACTTCCTTCATGTTTTGCAGGTTGTCTTTGTCAGCTGGTGTAAAAGCTTCTGGGACTGTGGACTTGTGGCACTGGATGATATATCATTGAGCCTGGGAAGCTGTCAGGTTGCTGGTAAGACCATGTGTATTTCTCGTACAACAGCTGCTATCCTTTTTAAGTAAGAGTTCAACACATACTTTCATTTTCCAAGCCTATCCTACAGCTGCCTTCATCCCACTGTGGTTTCTTGTCTTTTCTTTTTCTCCCAATAATTATTGTATAAATCCTATTTTTGCGAAGCATACATACAGTGAGGAGCAGTTTTTGTTCACAGGGATACCAGCTAACTCCTAATAAACTTCACTGGCTCCAGTACAGTTGTATATAGGTGAGTAGTCTTTTGGGGTGCTGCAATTTGAAATAAACCAACAGTCTAGCTGAGGGAAAAGTAGTTTTCAAATGGCTTTTAAGAAACCAGGAATGGACCCACAAGCAGTATTTTCAAAACATGGCATTATTCTTTTTTAGTAGAGAAGTACAGCTGTGCAAGACTAAGACACAGTCCCTTACCTGAGCTGCAGTTCTCTAAAGGAGACAGATAAGAGCAGTCTAACTCTCCCTCCTGTAGTGGGAGGAACTGAATGTTTTCCAGCAAGACTTTGCCCTCTGACATGCACAGACTAAGCTCTCTGAACTCACCAAACTCCCTCTTCTGGGACTTCTTCAGGTTTGACAATACAGCCATTGTATCCTAATTTAGAAACCATTCTCATGAGATAGGCACCATCTATAATCCCATTCTTCTTCGGAATAAAGCCATGCCTTTACAGTGGTCCTAATAGCTTTTAAATGACCTCCTTTGATTGGACTTCATGCATTCAGGCTGCCAACCACTACAAAATAGAGAGAAGTCTCATGTATAAAACAAGATGCCATTCTTCTAAAGTATTTCCAGTGGTTGTCTGTTTTGCCTTTCTGTAGTTCCAAAGAAATTGGAAAAGGAAGGTGCAGAACTGATACTGGGTATATACTCATACTGTGGCTTGTCTCTGATGGCAGAAAAAAAAAACCTGCCTGAAAAATGTCCCAGAGGTATCAAGTCTTCTCCTTTCCAAAAGGTGAAAGCATCTCAGAGTGTCCACTTCTGAATGACAAATTCAGATTACAGCAGAAGAGCTAACAGAAACTTCCTGGCAAGCACCTGTATTGTCAGCTTTCTCCTTTCTGTGTCATCTAATAGAACTGAAATAATGAATACTCTAAGAATTTTAGCTCTGTGGTCTGTTGTATTAAAATCTGGTGCCAAGGTAACATAGGAGAACTAAATGTGGCATTTGATTTCAGGTCACTGAAACTCCAGTCTTTGACAGGACTCATTTAATATGCGTATTATACACGCTGGAGCTCATTCATCTGCTTGGGGTGCCACAATAGTGAAGAAAATTGCACTGATGAAGACTGGTATAGAATCACAGAATTGATAAGGATAGAAAAGACCTCTAAGATCATAGAGTCCAACCATTAAAACCAAAAGACCTTTAAGATGATCTAGTCCAAACCATTACTGAAGAGTAAGAGTAATAAACTGTATGAGATGTTTCAAAGACTCCTAGTACGTGTGACTGAGCTACACTAGGGCACAGATTTCCCCAGAGTTTTGAAGAAAATGAAATTAAATTTTGCACATCAGTTTGAAGCTATCTTTTATAAGCTTGTGATGATTGTAAGCATTGCTATGTACATATAACTGATTTCAGTAGATGAGTAAACACAATACATTAATTGTGTAATCTCTCCATATATCGGTCTAATATGTTTGAAGTTTTAAACTATCTTATCTCCTTACAGATCTATTGCTGCCCAGTCCTGGAGAGTGTACTTTTGAAAAAGATGAGTGTGTGTTTATCCACAAGAAGAGAGGTCGTGGGAGCTGGCACAGGAGGAGGGGTCCAACTCCCACTTCTTACACTGGGCCAAAAGGAGACCACACTACTGGGGTAGGTGAGTTAAGCTCAGAACTGAACTTTCAGAACAGAGATTCATAGTTAATCAAAAATAATTTGAAATTATAACCTAGAAGATAAAGTTTTTACTCTTCTGTTCAGAAAAGTTACTAATCAAATCAAGTAAATATCTTTTGCAAGGACCCATGAGAATGTGTTTGGTCTGAATTATCTGTAGACCAGGTGGATAATTGTCTCGGTTTGAGACAGGTGTCTGC